CTAAATGATTTAAAATTTCCACTTGAAGTATTTTCCTTAATGTAAAAAGTTTCTAAGTTATTTCGACTATTTTCTTTGTTAGTATGGTCCATTATAACCCCATTTTTGGTCAGTCCATCAATGTCATTCAGAGCATTCCCGTCCACATCCGTGGTTTGTACCTTATTTTTGTTTGTCTGACTGTTTTTAACTATTTGTGTAAATGTGCGTTTGTTGTTCGTGTTTCTGTCCTGACAAAATTGTCGTCTGTGTCTAATTGGTATATTTTCTGGTATATTGTTGTCTGGACTGTTACTCTGTGATAGCGGAGGAAAGTTTTGATTTATTTGAATTGTACTAATGGAATCTCGCCCTTTGGGAAAAAATTGTGCCGTTTCAAAATATGAAATATTCTCAAAAGTCAGGTTCTCTCTAATAGTTTCCTAGCGTTCGTATTCTTTACAATTCCTTTGTTTGACTTGTGATTACCCTTACAATGATAGCATTCAATTTCTACGCAATTTTCATATTACTCTTTCGTATCATGTTCCTTTGAACAACTAAAACATTTACGTTTATCTTTACACTGCTTACTTGTGTTATGTGACCATATATTAGACACACATAACATTGTGTTACTTGAGGTACATAAGGTGTGACAAAATGTGTCATATAAGATAATTCAACCTTTCCTGGTAATGTAACCCCCTCAAATGTTATGAGTACTGTAGTTATAGGTTTATACTGTGTTTTTCCGTACTCTACCACCGTCCTGTTCATTCTCCTCACCTCAAGAACTGGAAATTGACTTTTTGTCATATGTTTAATCTCTTCATTTAAAAAATTAATACTAATTCCTCGGGTAATGCCCTTGCAAGTTACATAATTATATGGTATATACATTTTGTATACCCTGTTTTTAATAGTTTCATTATTAACAAAATTATTTGCATCAATTTTCCTATTGAATTCTACGCCAATTTTATTGATACCTTTATTTTTAATCCGAATATTATTTAATTTTGAATCAGAAATCTCCTTTGCTATCTTCAAGTGATTGAATCTGTTTAAATCTGCTTGAAATCTGTTTTTCCGTTAATCAGCTGTCGCCCCATACGAACGACCACTCTCAGAAGTTGAGAAACTTGTGCAAGCTAAGGACTAACGAGGTCTTACCTTTTAACGTGTGATTCCTAACACGGTCCTAACACGTCCAATATTATTTTCCGATTCTTGTGTAGCCTCGATTATAACAAGAAACCGTCCCAATGATCCTTTATAAAAACGTATCTCCTTTTTTTTGTCCCTGCGTGTCAGGTTTTTTTGTCATGTTAGTGGTTAGATTGTGTTCAGATAAGGATTGCAATTCACGGTTTCGAAGTTCATAAATATTAAATTCATTGATATTATCTGCAAAAGTTTGTGAGTTGAAGATATTCTCTACTTCTTTGACGTTGCTATCCCCATCGTCACAACTTCCATCTCCTATGTTCGCTTTTTTTATAGGGGGAGGTACATCTCCCCCCGTATCCGAATCCATATTCCCGAAATCAAACTATGGATGATATGCAAGTTGAAAGAAAACATAGAATAAGAATAAGTACAATGCACACCCGAATTTTGCCCTTTTCTTGCGCCTGGTCTCTCATTGTATTCTAGTATATCAAACATGTTAAGTATATTGCAGTGGCTGTCTGTTTCCCAGAGACTGTACGAGTTAGCAATGATATTAATTTTCAAACTAACACATAACTTGCTTCCAACTTATTTTGAAGAATTCTGTATTAATAAATCTCAAATCCATAACCACTTAACAAGAGCTAGTAGCTCCCAAAAATTCCACCTTCCTCGAACTAATTTGACTAGTACGATGAAGTCTTAATTTTATAAAGGTTTGAATGAGTATAAAAAACTCCCACTTTCGTTGAAAGATTCAATTAATGTTTTCCAATTCAGAAAAAACTCATAAACTATATAAAATACCATCCTTGATTTTTTTTCTGTTTGGTAATATATTTATTATGTATATCCTCATGTTGAAACCATTCTGGAATCATTGAAAAATGGTTTTTATAATTCTTTTTTCTTCTATCATATCATCATTTTTGTTATTTATGTCATTTATTTATATATTTTTAATTTTATAAATCAACAATTAAGGCAAAATATAAATTATAGTTCAATACCACCTCCACAAGCCACATAAACAACAGTTGTTTTGTTATTTATTTATATAGAGGAAGATAGGTTAGGTGGACAAAATGTCATATGTCACAGAATGTCTCGGAACTCGGAACAAAAGTAAACAGAACAGCACGCCACTGAAATATGTCATCTTTGTTTGTCTTATACAGGTAACAGATTCATTGTCCTTTATTAGAGCTATAACCTATGTTCCCAAATGGTGAAATAGAAACGAATCCCTTTGAATGTTGAATGCATTATTTCCTTCCTCTATTTTTTGGCATTTAAATAATTTTTTAAAGAAAAAGGTTGAAATGATAAGTTTAAAATGCGTTGTTTCAGAGCTCTTTTATGAAAACTACTTGATTTTCGTCAGGAGGAACATTCCCCATTGAGAGCAATTGATTATGACCTTGAATAAAAAAAAGAAATGAATAATATTTACGTCTTACCTCAGGACTACAAGAGTTGTGAATTCCAAGCAATTCAGAGTAGGGTATTCCTTATACAGTAGGATACGTGCATTCAAGTTTAAAAGACAAATATTTTAAGAAGCGCCGCTGAAGGGCGTCTAACTAATCTATATGAACCTGATAGTAGAAACTCCACACAACAGATGCATATTCTAGCCTAGATGGAACAAAAGTGAAATAAAGTAATTTCAATTAACTAGTTTAGTGATCCAATAGTTTTTCTGAAAAAAGTTTGGTTGGGTAACAGGATCAATGTCGTCAAGAAAAATGTCGTCAAGAAAACAATTGTTTTTTTAAAGAAAAAATTGATCCTATTACCCAACCAACCTTTTTTCAGTAATTTCAATGTTGCAGATTTTTACTCTTTAGTATTTCTAACAAAAAATCCATACACGTGATAAGCAGATGTTAGAGTAGTGTCAATATATTTATTGAAAGACAGGGATGAATCAAAAGTAACACCTAGAACGGTGAGTGTGTCAGGACACTCCAGAACTTAATTGTTTATGACGTAGTTGTGTAATGTCGGATTCGTTTTCAGTAAATAAGGCATTACATTGTATTTGGATATGTTGAGGGATAGTTTATTATTCTTACACTATATAGCAACACGGTTTAAATTAAGGGCGAGACGTTAGCAATCAATAGAACATGTTATATTGTATACAGTTTCAAATCATCTGCGTATTGCGTATCTGCGAAGAAAATTAACATCAATCTCAGCTCCGATATCATTGATGAACATATTGAATAGGGGGAGTTCCAGGTTTGACCCTTGTGGTACACCAGATGTATCTAGATATTCGACAGACTTGAGGCCATTGAGTTGGACTTACTGGTTACGGTTGAAAAATTCTATTCGAAGAGAGTTATTAGGTCATTGGATAACCCAAAAGTCAAAAGCTTGTTATTGAACAGGATACTGTCTGTCTGTCGAACGCTTTAGAAAAATCAGTGTAGATGACATCAGTCTGAGACTGACAATTCAACACCCTATGCAATACATTCAGTAATTTTCACAATATATGGTGAAACTGGCCGATACTTGATGAAAATCCTTAGCTAACGTATTCAAGAAATACTTTATTGTGACATTTCCACTAAACAGTTTTACAAAAACGCAACACGTGTTCTCCATACAATGGCTTCTTCGGGTGTAAAGACACGCCCGAAGAAGTCATTGTATGGCGAAACACGTGTTTTTAAAACTGTTTAGTGATAATCTCACAATTAAGTGTTTTTTGAATACGTTAATTTTTACAAGATTAGTGAAGGTTGAACGCCCTTTCATAAAACCGTGTTGATTGGGGCTATATTGTTGCTGACATGACAGTAGATTAATAATTATCAAAGACGAATTATCAGAAGTCAAAGCGACTTTTCTTGAAAAGCACTGTACCCGAAATTGAAGCACTAATATTTGTTGATGAAAATTTCACTAATTTGAACAATTCATTTTAGATACAAATAACAAATGGTGAGTAAACTATTCTTCATTTGGTTCCACAAAATCAACCCCAATTGTTAAGATATTAATATTAAGAAAATTATTTTTCACCATTTATATCAACGGGATATGTCATCTCGCCATCTCGTCATCTCGTTAGTTTTGCTAACGACATTCACATCGAGCTACAATACACTTGAAACTTTTATAACTGCCACAGAATCTAGAGCAGAACTCTGTTTCACGACAAATCGTCTCAAAACAATAGAGACACAACAAAAGTCATAATTTTCTTCTCCAACAAAAATTACACTAATAGATCAACTGCTACACAATTAGGTGGTAATGAAGTGGAATAGCTATATTGATAGTCTGTACAACAAACTGTTGTGGAACAGTAGCACATCGGGTTGGCATTAGTGGTTTGTTCTACTCATTCTATCGACCGCTATATCGAAAGGTGGTTCGAGCCCTACGGCCAAACGATCGATTTTTCAATGCGTGTCGTCCAACCCGTGCTAGGAATCGTACGTAAAAAAATAAAAACTCGTTAATCATCAGGTCCCACAAGTTTTCGAGGGGTTGTCATTCATAGGGGGCTACAGCTGGTTTATGGAAAAACAGATGAAACTAAATATACCCTACCTCATAAGGGGTGTTTCCTCAATAACATGCTAATATTTGAGAAAGTATTCGTTACATACAAACCATCACAATTGGTTAATTCTTCCAATTCCATATGATAAAAAGTATTGTACTATTTAGTACAATAATCTATACATATCTATACAGATTGTTGGGAAATTATTAAATATATAAATTAAGTTCATCAAACTGTAGTACCATTATAAACTGACTCATGTTACTAAAAAAATATACTAGATCATGATCTTTGTAAGCTCCAACTGGGTTAGATGAAATTAAGGCTCATATACAAGTTATTTGTGAAAACTTACCTCCTCCTATTCCATGTCAATTTTTCTCCTGATCATCTGCAATAAAAAAAAATAATTCATGAACGTGTTTGGTATATAACTACAGTATAACTACAGAATAGGCAAGGCCAAAAAAAATTAATAATAATAAATTTAGTTTCGATAAATTACTAATTTCTTTTCGATGTTAACTTGAATACGAAATATGTGTTGAGAATAAAATTTTTACAGTTTTGGTGCGTGCAACAAAATGTGATACCAACCACTAAAAACTTCGAGTATTATTTTAATGCAACTTCAAATTTCAGTGAAAATATGAGACAATATGAACATTGAAATATTCAGCAATATTAAAGCACTGCCAGTATCGTATTTAATTAACGTTTATAGTGCCAATACTGCCAATACTGTATTACTGGGTTGATGAAAAATATTGCAAAATTCAACTTACCTTACCTTATTAACAGTTTTGAGAAGTATATGTTTGTGTACCCCTGAGATTACTGGTCTAACATAGTATGATGGATAGATGATTTTGAAATAAAACTTCTTTACGCGCGTTTGATTTTAGGAGTAAGCTGGTGAATGTGTAACGAGAGCGTTACGAAAAATGTGATCGGGCGAGGCAAACGGAAGTCGAGAGGGAAGTATAAATTAGTGAAGAAAGAAAGACAGAGAGGTGCGAACACACATTTACGGTCGAGTAAGCTATGAAGAGTTAAGAGAAAACTATCATACTCTGCCACTAATTTTGCCAGGAGATTTCAATGCAATTTTGCGCCCGAAGATGTTTCAACCTATCTTGATGAAATTTGGCTCCTAATTATGAATTGAATAAGACTTAACTTTTTTAAATGACATTTTTCGATATTCAAACATGAAACCATTGAATTTTTTCGAAAAAAATTTAAATTTCATCAGATAACGAATGACAGTAATGAGTACGTATTATTATTAGTCAATTATTAGATATTTATCTTTCAATGAAAAATTGTATTTCCGACCTAAATGGTGCCTGTCACTTTAGGTTTATAATTTTCGTGAATATTTGTTTGCAACACGAGAAATAAAATTTTAATATGTTCCTAGATGCAATAATGAGCCACGCAGTATTTGTAGAGCAAGCACGAGACAGTGCACCTTGTGCGGCAACACCGATTGAGTAACCTAACCCTTTCAGCGCTAGGTAAATATAAGACAACACGACAACGCCGCGTGTAGCAGGAGCAGTGGATGACAACCGAGCGCCGCCGAACGCAGACCGGGCAAAGGCGCACGGACCCCTTCTCAAGTGCCTAAGTGGACGGTCGGCAACGCAAGCCATACCTTTTAAGGCGCGATGGAAGTGCCAAGTGCGTTCGAGTTACTTTGCCCCCTTCCCTCTCCCGCTTACCCGCCTCACGATCTGCTTTACAACTATATAATCACATTTTTTACAGTGTTCCGTTTCCGATTGATTACCAAAAGCAGGAAAGCTCTCTCGACTGCCTGGTCTGGCTGTGCGCTTCGCTCTATCTGCCGGATAAACGACCTGACACAAGTTAGGGTCTTTTCCAACACGCTTAAAATAACGTTTTGTCGATTTGGCCAACCTGAGTAAAAATAAACGTATGGTTGAACTTTACAAAAACCGACGCGAAGTACAGGGAGAGCATATTATAAAGATACATACACTTTGAAGCGACTTGAATACTCGCCCAACCACGAGTTCAACACGCTGTAGTCGATCACTCGTAGCGTTAATGAAACATTTCGAGAATTTTTCAAAAAACTGAAAAAAAAATTTATGTGGTCCAGACACGAAATGGTTAGATTTTATGTGTCCAACACATTATAAGCAGACTTCATTTAAAACATATGTTTCTGTGTATTTCTTGAAGCACAAAGACCCCCTGCCGCGTCTATATGCCTGAAGGCGATAAACTGATGAACTATCCAACGAATTTTCATAAGGTTTTCACTAATGGACGGAGTGATTCATGAGGCAGGTTTATGTGTATAATAATTAATGTTTCGTGTGAATTGGTTGGAATATGACGATATTATCGGTGAGAATACGAGGCAGTGGTGCTATCAGTGCGAGCATTCATCGAATACACTTCCTAATCCCTTTGAAGTATAACAAAACAATTCACTACTTATTGTTCTTCTTTTATAAGGCTACACAAAATTTCACGATGGCATATGCCAATCTTTCAAGGTAGCTTATATACTTATTTTGATGTGGTAATTAGAAAGTTATTATTTAGACGGATACGATATAAATTCTCAACAAATGAATACGTTAGTTATCCAAGAGCCAGTTCAATGGATGCATGAATGAATGAAAGACTAGTAAATAATTTACTACAATGTAATAAGAACCTTAGCCACAACAAGGCGTGGCCGGGTCTGCTAGTATATATATGGTGATGGTGAATCCGTTTGTTTGTTTTCGACCCTTTTTCGCAACCAAGTGTTGCCTATCCTTCACACTTGGCTGTACCGTACTGACGAAGGCTAAATAGCCAGAGACACGTGTCTGCGGTTTGCCCTCTTTCCTATGAGTGCTCGTCCAATAACTTTTTTTCATCGATAATACCATGTCACTCAATATCCATCATTCTTGTTGATTTATCCTGGACCCGGATGTCACGCAGGTTGCTATAGCTGCACCCGTGACGAAGTTGGGAGTTAGTCCTTGTAATCACAAGGTCATTAATTTCGTTTAGTCGATCCGACCAACAAATATACCGGTTTCGGGGTGATTGCCCCATCATCAGTAACGGGGCATGGTCTCTTAAGAACGGTGTGAACCGTCTGAGTATCACGACCAAACGTACCTACAAAGTCGTAGGTCTGCATTAGAGGAAAGGGGCAACCTTTAGCATGTCATATACAGTGTTATCCCCAAAGTATACACTATATGGGAAACTTATTTATTAAGGGTTTTCCGACAAAAAGTTATTGCTGATAAAAGTTTGTGCATCCCCTAAAACTGAACATACACCAACGAAATACAGTAAAACACACGTAATATACGAGGAGCCTTCAAATATTTGATTTTGAGGCAAGGGTAAAGTACTCTCATTTTGAAAAATCTCGGGAAATGTTATTTGGAAAAGTTGTTCAGCATCAAAAAATACACCTAGATTTGAAGTCGTGGCCGTTTAAGTGAAGTTATATTTTTCAACTTTTTTTTTAAATAGGGACTACGAAAAAAATTGCTAAAACGGNAAATAATTTTCTGTTCTATGTTTTCAATCGAATACAAAATGTCCCATGCTATGTTTTCGAGGTCCTTTTGAAAACAGAGCATGTTTATGTTACGTAGAGACCTAAAACTTGATGAATAATCGTGACAGGCTTTCAGTTCTACATTCAACAGCATGATTAATTCAAATTTAAAAATTGATATTTAATAGTATGAAAGTAATGTGAAGTAATGAAAGTAATAGTGTAGTATAAATATCCACAACAATCATTTATATTACAGAATTTCATCTACTTACATTTTGGTTATGTTCTGTGTTATATTCGTTATGCTCTGTGTTTTGATTTGATTATCAATATAAGAGCTGAAATTGAAACATATTTCTAGAAGCTTTATCTCTATTTAACATGAATTTCAACTTGTGAACTAGACTACTGCAAGAAAAATCACCTCATGAGTAGTCCACTTTATAAGCTATCTTTCATATTTTTGAGAGTCTAACAAGAATTTCAACTTATGAACTGGACTCCCTGGAGTTCGAGTCTCTCTAGCTGCGTAACCTGTATACATTCCTAATTGTCATAATCCCTACAGAGTGGATGTATTTATGAACACATATCAAAGGTTTTTAAGTATCTACTTGTTTGAAAACTGCTCATGTTCGGCCCATACCCAAAATTGCAAATCATTTGAATATCAACATATCTGTGTGAACATCTGTAAGGTTTGAACCGCTTAAGCAACGATCTCTTCTCAAAAAAAAACGAATCCAATTGTATTGGCGGTTTCTCTCAATGAAAAAAAAATCAGTTCGAGCATATTATCTTCGACTCACCGTCTTTTTCATCTCCTCCAATTTCCCAGCATCCCAAACAAAATAAAATCTTGAATATTGTTTTGCGTATCCAGTATACAAAGATAAAAGTTGACCTAAGTGGCATATGACCTTACAACATTCGATAATAAGGTCACCTAGGTTAAAAAAATCCCGATAATGTATACACCACACCTAACAATTGACCAATTCTACAGACACACATGCATGCTTATGCTAAGCGCGATATAGTTAACTGTTTTGATAGGTCAGTAAATTGACGTTTTGCTACGCCTCTGATAAGAAATGCCACAATTCGTTACTGCTCGCAACGATGTATTGTCGATGACTCATCTAATATCAATTCATATTATCAAACGATTCGAATTTCACAATGCAGCCATTTACAAGATAAATTCGTTCGGAGGAAACTCTGGGAAAGTTATCAACATCCAGTTCGAGTTACTCAATTAACATCGAACAATATTTTTCGTATTTTAAAAGTTTATATCAGAAACAGGTTGTATGAAGTAGTCTTCTGCTATACTTATTCATCCAGTTTATTTCCTTCACTTATACCACTTCGCCTTATACCAAATATCAACCTTAAACAAGAATTTTGTAATTTCTGAATGCGTCCGGAATCTCTATTATCTAAACACGGCCCATATATGCTATCACAGAAGTTCATGTGTGAGCGAACAATTGAATCACATAGTTCTTTCTTTGTGCTTTGATTTAGAAATTTTCTCCGAGGGTAAGTCATTTTCAAATTAGCATAGCCAATTTTTAACTTTGACGTGACGTGCTCCGTGAATTTGAGTTTATTGTCAATTATCAAACCCAGATTTCTAGCGGATGATCTGAAAGAAATAATCTCATTAGCTATACTGATGTTCAAACATGCCTGCAATTCTTCTCTGATTCTATCATTACAAAATAGTATAGCCATGGATTTTTTTGGATTGATTTTCAATAAATGTTCACTTGATACTTCAAAAACTTTTTGCAGATCATAGTTGAGGGAATATTCTGCTGCTGCAGTATCTG